TAAACAGTAGGGAAGAAAAATAATCAGATACATTCATTAACATTTTTCTTTTATTTTATGGTCATGACTATTTATTTTGAAGAAAATAATTTTTAATTAAAATTGGTAGGGTCTACTTCAAAGGGAAAGTGTTATATAATGTAATAACTGAATGTTCCCTGCCTTGTTTCACAGCAGGTTTCTGGACCAAAGTTAATACTTTCCTTTCTAGGGATCTGGAATGATGAACTGCCATTTTATTGGAAATAATCAATGACCAGTCTTTATAAGATTAAGTGTAAATAAACTTGGAATGTATGATTCTGATACTTGACAACCCCATAGTTTGACTTTAGCCATTTTTGGCTTCTTAACTTTCATTTAGATATAGTACTAATCTGGAGTTTTGCCTTCCTGAAGCAGTTGTTATAAATTCTTTTACTAAAATAACTACTAGGTTATTATAACTGTAGGTTAATGTACTGCTCTTCCCAAGCCATGGCCAGGGTCCTCTTAATGCCTGATCTAGGCTTTCAAAGTCAGTTCACATCAAAACCCAGAGGCCTGCCCACATTAGTGAGGCTCCAGAGTTTGTTTTGGTTATTCCCATTTGTGGGGAAATTTCCTTGCATATGGAAACACAAGAAACATAATTGGGAGTCCCTCAAAACTTACTTATGTAATATGTAATATAGACATTTCTGAAATGTCCTTTTCCTATTTTTGTGTGCGTGTGTGTATGTGTGTGTGTGTTTCTCTAAGATGCTTGAGAGTTGCTCTAAATGTTTTAAGAAATGTTTTTGAGCCGAATCAGATACCTGGATTTGCCATTAAACTGCGCTGGTTAATCAGTAGAATTAAATCTCTGTATTAAGCAAAGAAGGTTTATTGATATTCCTTTAGTTTTAATGACACATGGATGTCCTTGAAAGTGATGAATGAGCTTGCTACATTCATGGTAAATAAAGTCTGAAACCATCAAAAGAAAACTTACACCAGTTTGTGTTTTTAAGAGGTAAATTTCTGACTAATGAAAATAGGAGGACAAAGTTGATGTTCTTTAGAAGTATAGAATGGGCAGACCCTTCCAGACATTGTTGGGGAGCTAATTGTAAACTAACAGATTCTTAAGGAAAAATATGACTGTTCATTTTCAATTTATGTCTTGAATGCATTAGAATGCCATGGTAGGAATTTATTGTGATCTTGATTTATTCAAATCTATTTTTTTTTTTCGTTGTAGTGTCTAAAGTATGTTAGATCCAAATCTGTTACCTACTTTTGATCCCTATCAGAAGCTGCCAGTCCAGATTAAAGAACTCACGTTGTGATTTGAAAAGGCAAGAATATTGCCTAAATACAAATGAAGTGCTTCTTTCAGTCTATTTTAGAGGAGGCTCAGGACTTATAATTTTGAAGGAAGCATTGGCTTTAATAAGCTCAATTTCCTTCACTATTTTATTTAGCCTAGAATCACTCGTGTCTGTAGATTATGATAGAACACATTCATGCTGGTTAATGGTTAAAAATTTCAGCCCATCCTCTGAAAAGTTGTGACTCAGGCTGAATAGAGCTGGTTATATACAATATCTTTTGTATATTCTTTAGAGACTTTTGCCTCTACGACCTAAGTTTAGCTGGGGACTCACCAGCCTTCCCAGTCGTGTGAAACTCTCTCTTTCATTGAGTCTTTACATGGACCCTAGTAATGATCCAAGAAGCAGCTGTTTCTCTCTCATCTTTATGTGACTTTTTCTTAAAGCTCTCTACTAATTTAAAAATATTTTAAATGATATTTTAATAGCTCTTCTAAGAATTCTGGTACCAAGATTGAAAGTGGCTTGACCTAAGTTCTTTTATTAGGAAATCAGTAGATACTGATACAGGCACAGAGATATTTAACTCACAGGTATTCTTGAGGTTGTTTATTTTATTTATTTATTTAATTTTATTTATTTGTTTATTTATTGAGATGGAGTCTTAGTCTGTCACCAGGCTGCAGTGCAGTGGCATGATCTTGGCTCACTGAAACCTCCACCTCCTGGGTTCAAGCGATTCACCTGCCTCAGCCTCCTGAGTAGCTGGTACTATAGGGGTGCACCACCATGCCCAGCTGATTTTTATATTTTCAGTAGAGATGGAATTTCACCACATTGGCCAGGATGGTCTCGATCTCTTGACCTTATGATCCACCTGCCTCGGCCTCCCAAAGTACTAGGATTATAGGTGTGAGCCACTGTGCCCAGCCAAGGTTGTCTATTCATTTTAAATGGAAGTCTCATTAGCACTTGAAGTGTGATCTATTAACAGTAGATAACAGGCCAGCTATAAACTTGGCTCTGGTCTTCATTCTGATAACATTACCTAACTTCAGCACCATATGAAGTCAACAGTGGCACAGTCTGGCTTCAGGCACATTTTTTCCTAGGCTTTCTGTGCCTCCACACATCCCATGAGTCCTTTAACCATACTTATTTACTGGTTTGAAAAGACTATAAACTCATTTGATTTCACCCAATGTTGAAAAGTGGCTTTGGGTAATCCTTTTTTATTCAAAGAGCTAAAATAAGGAATATGTGTACATACCTATGACTAGCAGACTACGCTTTCTCTGTAAAGCTATCCAGGAGGCTTTTTTAAAGGAATATGTAGTATCTTGTCAATGAAAATCAAATAAACCTATTAACTCATCTGAATTAGCCAGGTTTCTGGAATGCATATTATGAAATAATAATCATAATAAAAACACAAGTGAATAATATCTCCCCCCCATGTTTATCATTTTGTAGTTTTCACTGTTTTTAGGCTAATTAATTTGCTTGTAGACATAAGATGCAGAACTGGATTTAGAATCTTGGTCTCGCAACTAGTAATCCTGTACTCACTTATTAAAAAGGGACAGTAATAATAAGAACCAAAATAAGCCACAGCAGCTAACTGCTAGCTATTTGTGAATTTTAAAAAATCAGCATCAGGAAAGGAATTTTAACTCTGGTAAGAAACAGGCAATCAAAATACATTTATTCATTTGTTTTGAGTGCTTCCAGCTGCTCATTACTCAGTTCATTAATTCCTTTTTAAAGATCTTAATAGCACTGGTTGGATAGTTCAAGAAATGTCATGAAAACATTTTTAACTGCTGTAAAATAATGGTAATACACTATAAAAGTGAAAGAGAGGTTAACACAAAGCCTTTTTTTTCTTTAGCTATTTAAAAGCTGCATATTTTAAATGATTTTCTGTAACAAAAGTAACAATTCATATGATTACAAATAGAAGCAGGTATATGGAGTAGTTACTTCCTTTTAAAATAGGATTTCTGCTCTACATTTTTAAAGTGGAGATTAGGAAATTTAAATATTCATTACTTAAGCTTAAAATGAAATTACTAGTTGACTATACTCCTAAAGGCATGTTAGCTCAGGATTCCCTTCCAGATTATTTTAATTGTACTGAAAATGTATTATAATGAAACACAGAGTGCATAGTAAATAAATAAAAATAAATGTTTTCTGAGAAATATTGGTAAAAGGGAATAAACGAGTACCTGATAGTCTGTTGAACTGACGTATTTTTCTCAAGTTCTTTTGTATAGTTGAGTTTATTTCTTAAATAAGGAAATCTTAGATTTAAGAACATGAAAGCAAAATTTTCCCCTTTATCCTCATGCTTAAATAATATGTTACATGCAAAAATATTATTTCTAAAATGATTATTTTGTCATATGGAATTTATTTTATTTATACTAATTTTTGAATTTTTTTCTACTAAATCATTGCAAAGACTGTCAAACCTTCTAACAGTAGTATTAGCATTAATTTTTCTAACCATGCATGATTCATTCAATCCCACAGTAGCTGTAGCTTGCTTGCCTTGTTTTTTCCCTGAAATAATTCAAAAAAGTATAAAAAAACACAATGGATATCTGCTCCACATAGCAAGACAGCAGAACAACTTAAGTCCTTATAAATTGTTAACGTTTGATTATGTCACCCATGGATTTTGGAGCTACATACATATATGACTTATCTGAACTTTCTATGTTGAATGTGCACTGTTGTTAAATGACTTGTTTTTTCCCTGCTTACTCTTTGAAGAAGTCAATTAGGAATAATGGGAAACAAGGGGTAGGCAAAACATTGCAGTGCAGTGTTATTTCTATCTGTCTGGGAATATTTCAGCCAAAAGTCTATTTTGGGAAAAAAAAAAAAAAGCTGTAACGCATTCTCACACACAAACCCACAAATACTTTGGCTGCAAATTATTCTGCAATGTTGTTGCTGTGTTGTTGCCTGTGTCTTTTCTCGCGTGTAAAGCTGCCACTCACCCATGCATGTGTTTGCAGATTCTTGTCTGTGTCCTTGTTCATGAATTAGCTCATCCTCCTCCTGGTTTAGGTTAAATTTATGCAAGGGAATGAGAATTTATGGGTATAACTGTTAGCTGGAAAGCCCTTCCTCACCTTCAATCCTCCTTTCAAACTACATTTCCTCCTGAAATTTCTCTGTGGGATGAAATGTTCAATTAATAGTCAATCAATCTCTTATACGTTATCTGGCTTTACATATGCCCTTGTTAGTTCTTGGAAAATAATCCAATATTGTGTTGTTTTGGTGTCTTTGTATTGGAAATGGAAGCATTTTGTGTGAATTACCTCTTTAACTGTGAGGAGTTGAATTGTCTTGGTTCTGCTTACCTAGTAACTGGGAATAAAGACATCACAGTCTCTAACCCCACTTTTTGGTGGAAAGAAAATCTAAAAGTAGCAACATTTAATGGAATAAAATATCAATAATTAAAGAAACTCCCCTGTGAAACTGTAATATTATTTTAAAATCAACATTGTTGTAAGATAGCGGAAATGTGTGATTTTTCTATTTTGCCTTTTCACTGACAATATACCCATAAATCTTTGGTGGTGATTTTCTCTCCAAAGTTAATTTCTGGGCCATTGGTGACTGCACTATCTATTGTTCTAAACTGTTGTCTTAATTGCATTCTTTAAAAATGTAATGTTGAAGGCACATAATATTGAAGATGACTCCAGGATGAACCCTGAGTTCGCAGACCGAATAAAACAGCTCGATAAAGAGGCGTCTTACTACCGTGATGAGTGTGGCAAGGCCCAGGCGGAAGTGGACCGGCTGCTGGAGATCCTCAAGGAGGTGGAGAATGAGAAGAATGACAAGGACAAGAAGATTGCAGAACTGGAGAGGTAAATTTTGCAGTCACGTAAATTGTTGACAGTGCGAGAACACGGACTGTGTGGGTGCGCCCATCTCTGGTTGTGGTGGCTTTGGACTGTACGTTCATATTACAAGTTAGAAACAAGTCGTGGGTGAGGAACACGGCCTGTGAAAGATGACGTTTCTGTGGAATGCTAAGAATGCAATTGGCTGATCCTCTGAGGGATTATAAACTTCTTAGGTGTTGAAGAAAATAGTGGTCAACTTTCTTGAGTGATGTCCATGATCTAGCATTTTTCCAGGGAAGTGTGTAAGAAACTGGGGCTTTGACTACCCAAACCTCAGTTCGTTTCCATTACAGATAAATATTTGTGGTTTAGTTTTGTCTTGAGCAAACAACAATAACAACAACAAAAACCGAAGCATATAGTTGGGAATTCTTCATTCGAGACAGGGGAAGAAGGAAGGAGCTCTTATCCTTTGGATGTCTCTTGGCACACCACAACAAATCCTTCCTGGAGGTTTATCTCTTAAGAGGACCTTTTTAAAAACATATACTTGAATGGGTCCTACATGATAGCAAATTCTGTGTAAAAACAGGGAGTGTTGTATCAGAATATTTAGTTTTTCAGATAAATCATATCTATGTTATATTTATATATAGCGTAGACTCTAAAACTAAGCTCACTGTCAATGCTTTTTCCTGTATTTCATGTAAGGAAAGAACTTTTTGAAAAATCTTACGTAGCTCCATAACCTCTGCAGATTTCTTATTGGTTCAGCAATAAGGCAGAATTTGTGTTTCCCAGATTCAGTCCACATGGTAGAAATCACCACATTTTGAATAAACCTGTGAATATTGACCAGCTTTGATTGAGACACTCATGAGACCCTAAAGGACTTCAAGGTGTACATAGAGTAGCTCTCTATCATCTTGTGGAAAGATCATGGGCTTCAGTGACAGAAAGACCTGGGTTCAAATTTCACCTCTGCTTTTTGCCAGCTATGTAGGCTGGAGTGCAGTGGTGTGGTCATGGCTCACTGCAGCCTCAAACCTCTGAGGTCAGGTGATCCTTCTGCCTCAGTCCCTTAAGTAGCTGGGACTACAGGCGTACACTATCACACCCAGCTAATTAAAAAAAAAATCTTTTGTAGAGATCAGGTCTCACTCTTTTGCCTAGGCTGGTCTCCAGTTCTTGGACTCGAGTGATCTTCTGTCCTTATCCTTTTACGGCCTTGAATCTTGTTAGAAGTCAGTGAGTCACTAACAACCTATTCAAATGATGCTTTGCAAACAATTGGTCCCCAGGTAAGGTGGGACACGTATATTATTAAGAACAGTCAAATGCTAAAACAAATAAATTTTCAAGGCCAGATGTGGTGGCTCATGTCTTATAATCCCAGCATTTTGGGAGGCCAAGGTGGGAGGATAGCTTCAACCTAGGAGTTTGAGGCCAGCCTGGTCAACATAGGGAAACCTTGTATCTACAACTACAATAATTAGCCAGGTGTGGTGGTGGGTGCCTGTGGTCCCAGCTACTCAGACGGCTGAGACAGGAGGATCACTTGGGTCCAGGAGTTCAAGGCTGCAGTAAACTATGAGCCCCTGCACTCCAGCATGGGCCATAGATCAAGAACCCTGTCTCTAAGAAAACAAACAAAAAAATCTCAACATTAACTGTCTCTGTATTAAACAAACAGTTTAATTTCCAATAAAATTTCAACATTTTCAAGTATAGTATTTGGTACATTCAAACTCTAAATTAATATTTCTCTTCATAATCTTAGCATTAGTTTGATGATAAATTGATTTTTATTCAGTGTGACCAATTTTAGCAATAAAGTCAAGGATTTCTTTTTTTCAGAGGTAACTGTCCAAATTAGAATCCTGAAAGGGCTTTGTTTTAATTTTAAAATGTAGAAATGTTCTGCTAGTCTGCTGGTTCTTAAAAAGCAGAGGGCACTGTGATTTTATAGGTGGATCTACATGACTATTTTGGAACTATGTTTTAAGGCCAAAATTTTTCTTTAAAAACTGACATGAGATCACAGGAAAGTTATGATCATGTCTCTTTCATTGATTAGGAAACTGAGATCTTAAAAAGTTGAATGACCTTCCTGAGATTGGGCCTATGGTCAGAAAAATGCGAAACTGTAATGTGAGTTTCCTGATTCCTAGTCCACTACTCTGAGAGGCTGTGAACTATGTGGAGGATGCCCTAGAAAATAATACTGATAATTATATTACTTTTATTTGTAATACTAAGGTATGTATAGTCTATGCTCACAGTATGCCAGGTACTCTGCTAAGCACTTGATTTGCAATACAGCATACCTTTTAGTCTTACCCACAATACAGAAACGATCATTATTCTCATTTTACAGATGAGAAACTATGATTTATACAGATTAAGTAACTTCTTCCAGGTTGCAGAGCTCATAAGAATCAAGTGGGGATTTGAACCCAGGGCTGACAGATGAGCCATTGAGTACAATCCTTTCCCCTAATGGGCCAGAAGAAAGAAGCTAGTACCATAGCACTAAGCAGTCAGGCAGCCAATGGAGAGCCTTCCTGAGCACGCATTGCTGCTGGGCCGCAAGAGATCTACCACTGTGTTAGCATACAGGAGAGAAAGTGATGTGCTTCACATTTAAATGGGACTTTTCTATGGTAAACCAGCCCCCTCCCCTCCAGAACTGTAATTGAAAATCAGGACAAGCTACTACAAACGTTTACATATAAACAACTTAATGGTCTAATTGGACAAGCAGATCTTAGCTGGACACTCTTGCCTTTAAATCATCAAGAATATTCAGATTTTTATTTCTTCAATGTGGAATGCATTAAACCAGCAGTGATTTTACAGGCATTTATCTTTATGTACTTTCTGCACATTTTCTTTATCTCTGCCTTTGCCTCTCTTTAAAGCTGATGCCTCCCAGGCACTGTAATTCATAAAACGTGTGGTGAGACCTGAGTCTGTCCCAGTTCTCTGCCTGCTTGTGTCTTGGGTCCAGCAGCAGAGCATTGTCTGGGAAATGTCTGAGCCCCAGCCCCAGCCCAGGCCCCTAAGGAAGTGGGGGTGGAGATTCAGAGGGGAAGTTTCTTGGGAAAAAGAGGGCTCAGGCTTGGCCTCCCTTTCTGAAGCATTATCTGCTGTGCTACGTGTGTATTCTGACTAAAACATCTTCCTCCAGCTGTCAAGCAGCTTTTTTTTTTTTAAAAAAATTGGGCAATATTGCCATTTGCTTGATTAAACTACAAAATTCATACCTGACAATTTTGGGAACTAAAGAGTTCTTAGCAATGTGACATGTATCTCCATCTTGGAGTCATGGAAAAATGTTTGCAATTAAATTTGTAATTTTGAAAACCAAAATATTGAATTTGAAATAAATTTGTGGTCTCTGGCTTTTAATGTGATCTACCAGAGTGAAAAGACCTCTTTTAAAAGCAGCAAATGTTCTAAAATATTCCAGAACTTCAGTTGTATGCCACAAAAGGTACAGGGTTAGGAATAACTCAGACAGCCTTGACACTGGCTCTCTTCTCTCTCAGAAGGCGGTATGTGTTTACTTTCTATTCTATTAATCTTTCCATTCCAGATAGCACATGGCTGGCATTTACACAATGCATTTACCTCTTAAATTCCGTGCGAGTGATGTTTCTCATCAGCCATTAAAGATTTTACTTTTTAAAGTACATGTTGTTCTAGTGTGGTCCCACGTGCAGTTATGCCTGTAAACTCTTGCACGGCCCAGTGGGGAGCTTCTGCCTTGAACTGCAGGGAGCTCAGGGGAGTTTGCTACCAGGTGGGTGGTGGGCCTTGAGCGAGTTTCTGAGAGTTGGTCCAAATTCGACTGAAGTCTGTTCCATCCCCAATGTCAGTGTTACGTATATTACACAACCTAGTGGCTAATTAAACCTTGGAGGCAGTAAAATATGTAGTGCTTCTGTGTCAGTGCCCATCAAGGTCTCTGAATTTTATTTAGAGTTTCAGAATTAAGCCTTTGGTGACTTAGGGGAAAGAGAGAGGTTAATAGAATCTGTCAAGTAAGACCTGCTGCTACTATATTTCTCACATCCCACCCATGGGAAGGAATCAGTCGGGTGACCTTTCATGTAATTATCTTAAATATGTTAGGGATTTTGTTGGTATATGTCTAGAGGATGGAGAATACCCAAATTGAGCCCTCAATCACATAACTCCCCAATGTGGAGAGGAGGCTGGATCCCTGGGGGTTCTACTCATAAGACATAACATCAGAATGGAAAGCAGGCTTCCACTTAATTATCTGGCTGGAGAAATAATATTACCAGACATCTGGACACTGAGAAATCATTTTAGTTGCCTAAAAGAGTCTTATCTAAGGTTGAGAAAAGAGAATGTTATTTTTTCTTCTGATTTGCTCAATAATGTGCTAACATAATTTCCTTGATGCCTTTCAGAGCTCTGTTCAAAACATAAACTTAAGCTTTATTGTTATTTTTAAATTATGATAATATGTTTTAGAAGTTTCATGGTACATGGAAAAAAGCTTGATGCCAGTTTTATTTGTTTTGATATAAATGTTTCTTGCTGAGTAATTTTCACTTACATTTGTTAATGTATTTGAAAGAACTTCTTGAAAACAAGTGGCAGATGGTTATATGCCATTCCTAGCAACCTTTTGGGGAAGGTCATGGACGTCACGGACACCTTTGAGAATTTGATGAAAACTAGGAGCCCCTGAAAGAGGCAACTACTCTGAAATGTGTGCTTGCTGTTTCAGTTTAGGATTTCCTAAGGCTTGGCCACGGACCTTGATTTAATGACATTTGATCCAGAAGGATTTGAAATGGCAGCTGCGGCCAGTATTGCCAAAGTCCCTACAGTGATCATGTCCTGACATAACTATCATTTTTGATCAGTTGTGCGTTTATGATCACGAGACACTCTGCAGGGGGATTTCAGATGCAAGGGATTATCAAATCAACACTTTTCCCATGTGGTTAATCTTACATTTTCTCTTTCAGTTCTATCATGGT